GTATATAATCTCGACATCAACTACAATTTATGTAAGTGTAAATACCTTGTGGACAGAGATGTGTTTGATTTAATATTATCCATTGATTGTTTTACATATATCACCATGCATAAGTTTTAATACTATACTAATTAAATAAAGACGTTTTATTTTTAACCTTTTACATTTTCCTCCCTATTTGTCAAACATTTTTGCTGACACCGTTACCAGTCTTAGGATGACTTTTTGTTGTGACTCACTCAAGGCTTCCATCCCTGAATTTGAAAGTACTTTCAATGGTTGCCAATATTCTTCTTTTGAATAAATTCATTTATATTTTGGCCTTTTTTTTTTTTTTTTTTTATGTAACTTAAACCAGTTAATATTTACAAATTGCATTGAATTTTTTTTTTTGGATGCGAAAATGTGATTTGATTCCATACTACGATGTATGCTCAAAATCGCACATTACAGACAGGGCCGTGGATTAAAAAGGTACCAACCCGACCCTGCTGTAGTGGGGTCCAGGTCAGCTGGGGATGCGCCCAGGCAGCTGGGTGAATCGAATGTGGGCAGGGAGGGTGGATCAGCAAGGCAATGGGGGCAATTACTGGAACCGATCCCCTGTATGGCTCTCCTGCAGCAGCTGAAAAGCCTGCGATTCATCTCCTCTGCCATAATGTGATTTGCACAGGAATGGGGTTCCAATAAGATTCCCGCCAGGTAGTCAGCTGCAGGGTCACCATCCACGCTACAATATGATTGTACAATGGCAAATGCCAATCCAGCTCTATGGTGCAGGGCAGTGAGCACAGGGCCCACTAGAGGATGTCGGGCCCTCAGGCCACCCTCATGAAGTCTGTTTCTGATTGTTTGGTCAGAGACATTCACACCAGCGGCCTGCTGGAGGTCATTTTGTAGGGCTCTGGCAGGGCTCATCCTGTTCCTCCTTGCACAAAGGAGTAGATACCGGTCCTGCTGATGGTTTAAGGACCTTCTACTGCCCCGTCCAACCCTCCTAGAGTAACTGCCTATCTCCTGGAGTCTCCTCCATGCTCTTGAGACTGTGCTGGGAGACAGCAAACCTTCTGGCAATGACACGTATTGATGTGCCATCCTGGAGGAGTTGGACTGCCTGTGCAACCTCTGTAGGGTCCAGGTATGGCCTCATGCTACCAGTAGTGACACTGACCCTAGCCAAATGCAAAACTAGTGAAAAACAGTCAGAAAAGAGGAGTAGGGAAAAAATGTCAGTGGCCTCCACCTGTAAAAACCATTCCTGTTTTGGGGGTCGGCTCATTGTTGCCCATCCAGTGCATCTGTTGTTAAATTCATGAACACCAAAGCAGCTGAAACTGATGAACAACCCCCTCTGCAACTTACCTGACCAGATCCATATCCCAGGAGGTTCATTGACTTGATGCTAGACTCTGATCAACAAGTGTTCCTTTAATTTTCTTGAGCAGTGCATATATTTATTCCCCTGATTTACACAACCCAAATCCACCCATAAGTAGACTTTCTCAAAGGTAGGAAGTTGAAAGAGTCCCTTTTCATAAAAATTTTGTTACATACATACATTTTTGGCCTTTTTAAACATTCTAGCCCTTTTCACTATTTTTTTTTCCTGCTTTCTTACACATCATGATTTTCCAGGTTTATAGTGTCAGAGTATAATTATATCCAAAAAAGGAAAATCATTTCAATTATTAGAAATAATTGAAAATGCCAGCCCCGGGGCCTTCCTCCTACAGGTTGAAAATGCTTTTTGGTCTTAAGTAATTTTCATGCAGTGTTGTCACCAGGGAAGCCACTGTAACCACTTGGACTGTTTTCACTGTCGATAACCCTCCTCCCTACCGCCCATAAGTGCAGGACACAACTCCAACAGGGCGCTTGTATCTGGAAGGAGGGATCTAGCTTGGATCCTTCCTCCTGGCTCTGGCAAATGTCTTCCCACAATATAAGCAGTATAGTCCCTGGGATCCTCTTCTAGCCTTTTCCCCAGGGGACAAATGAGTAATGCCAACTTGAATGGGTTCCTCCTCTTGGAGAGGTTGAAAGGACCCAGGAAGGTCTGATGGAGGAGAAGTGGGGTACTATGAGGCAATGAGGAACAAACCTCTCTCTCTAAACGTCTGTCTATACGGATGGTTACTTGCATGGATTCATTCAATGACCTTGGTTCAGGATAGTGTACTAAGGAGTCATTGATGGAGTCTGATAAGTCTAACCTGAACTGGCCTGTTAGAGCTGGATCAATTCCACCCTGAGTCAGGTGACCAGCGGCGGAAATCAGTGCAGTATTGCTCAGTGGGGCGTTTACCCTGATGTACTGACCTAAGGTTAGTTTCTTCTGAGTGCCCACGGTCAGGATCATCATAGAGTAAACCCAGGGCCTTGAAAAATGCTTTGACTGACCCTTGAGCTGGGTCTTCATCAGAGTCAAAACCAGAATGTTGGAATGAGACCAGCAGCCATGATGGATCAGGAACGCTAGAAGCTCCTCACTCAAGGGCTGGGGGACGGATTCCTCAAAAAATGAATTGTGGCCATAGAGAAACTTTAGTTATGGAAATAATACCAGCAAAGATCCAAGGAGTATTGTACGTGGTGGTTTTGGCTTAGAAGCAATATGAAAAGGCTTCTAATGCTGCCCACAGATGACAAGGTAGAGACCAAATCATCCTTCTACCAAAAGCTCATGGTATGAAAAAATAAAGTCTGTGCCTATAGATGGGGGAGCCATCTAATATCCCCATCTATGGGATCCCTGTGGGTAAAACTTCAGAGCTGCACTAGAAAGTACACCACTGGCTGATTGACTGTCCCCAATCTGGTCCAAGTAAGCATGTCCATAAATGTCATATTATCCTCTGAGCTGATCATGGTGGGGTAGATAGGAGGAATGTTCTCTGATAGACACCTTCAATGAATATGAGGGCAAATCTATTTTTTTCATTTTGGATGGAGTGGTGAAGAGTTAAACTCTCTGTCAGGTTTTATTGCTGTCTGTGCTGAGGAAACTCATGCCTTTATTTGTCCTGGTGACCATTGTCAGTGATGGAAATTACGAAGCTAATAAAAACATCCTCATCAATTATAATACCTCCTCATCTAAAAATATAAAGATGTCAGCTAATAATCAAAATTACTCATAGATACAAAAAGCCTACAAAGAGGTGGTATGGAGTGGTTTCCTATAGCTGTATGTGATACTTCCTCACTAAATAAGGTCAAAGTTGGGCACAAAAGAATCCTGAAGAAAAGTGTAAACACCACCCATTATAAAAATGTCAGTGTTGTCAAAACAGCTTCTTTTTGACCATTCCAGCCCATCCCTTACTAGCTCTACCAAAACACTGGTCCTTAATCCCCCCCCTGGTGCTTCACCCAACAGATCTTCATGAGACCAGAGTTGATTTTCCTTATGGAAATTTTTCCTAATAATGGCCAATTGCAAAGTCCAAGCCTTTCATGCACAACTATCAACAAGGCAAAGCCCACAGCTCACAAAGGTCTCCTTTTGATATTTAAGCTATTGAGCATTCCCACAGAAAAATCCTTTAAGCCAACTGTTCTAGCCAAGGCCACTTTTCAAAGTCCAGGAAATATAGTTTCAGGTCACTAAATGCCAACTATAGCCGAAAAAATTGATAAAATCTGCTTCAGTACTGCTTCGCTCTATGGGGAGCTGCCTTCGTTTCTCATACCCTACCTAGGACCTTTGGATTTTTGGACTTTATTCCTTATATGTCACCTTTTATCTGTATTGTTTGTTATTACAATTGCTGTATAAACTCATATTAGGATCTCAGTACTTGTGGTTCCTTCCAAGCGCCAATTCCATTTACTCTTAAATGCCAACTGGGCATTAGACATAGTCGTGCCAACATGCCTATGGTCCAGCCTGTATTGGGTTGATTATTAGTGGAACAGCAGTGTCATGCAACATCCAAAGCTCCAGTTGTAGAGCAAAATCCATCATATGCTCACTGCAGCAAGCTTTGTCACTGATAGTAGACGTTCATCATGGGAGTTCTGCATCCTCTGACCATATGCCATGTATATATACCAGAGTCTCACTGGAATTGGTCCCCTTGCCTGCCTCAATGGAAAAGTGGGCAGCATATCCACTAATTTAGTAGCACCCCACAATGGCAGCAGGTGGGCCAATGACTTCCAGGTCAGAATTTCATCCACTGATTGGTGGACTTTGTCAGCAGAAGTCCTCACCAGAGCCAGAGGCCAAGGGAAATCTTCCAATGGAGACAAATGTTTCAGTGACAACTTCTTAAGATTGATTTTTCCTTCATAATGAGCGCCTACAGTAAAATGCTAAGGTGTGACATATAGGGGGGTTTAGTTTCAGGTGCACCAAAGAAGACAGAGCTGTCAACAGTCCTTCTTTTTGTACAATTCATGTGTTACTATCTAATCTCTCTGTCTGATGGTCATTCCAAGCTGTCCCTCTTTTTTTTGATCTGACAAATAGACCTCTTTCAATAGATTCCCTTTTATCCAATGTCTAAACTGCTAGATCAGCCTTTCTCAATCAGGGTTCCTCTAATGGAGCTGTCATAGTTCCCGGATTGGCATCACTTCATAAAGCTAATCATGTGTGACCCGTGTACCCACTTCTTTGGCCTCATTCACATGATCATATCTATCTGTACACCTGTGTGAAGGGTTGTTTTCACCCACGTAGGATGGACAGGTGTATTGTGCATGCAGCATGTTCCAATGTAAGGGACATTCTTCCCATTGACCCCCAATGTAAGGGACATTCTTCCCACTGACCTCCAATGTAAGGGACATTCTTCCCACTGACCTCCAATGTAAGGGACATTCTTCCCACTGACCACCAATGTAAGGGACATTCTTCCCACTGACCCCCAATGTAAGGGACATTCTTCCCATTGACCCCCAATGTAAGGGACATTCTTCCCACTGACCACCAATGTAAGGGACATTCTTCCACTACTGACCTCCAATGTAAGGGACATTCTTCCTACTGACCCCCAATGTAAGGGACATTCTTCCCACTGATCTCCAATGTAAGGGACATTCTTCCCACTGATCACCAATGTAAGGGACATTCTTCCCACTGACCACCAATGTAAGGGACATTCTTCCCACTGACCACCAATGTAAGGGACATTCTTCCCACTGACCCCCAATGTAAGGAGCATTCTTCCCACTGACCACCAATGTAAGGGACATTCTTCACACTGACCACCAATGTAAGGGACATTCTTCCAACCGTAGCGCTACCCTTGTGAGGGCCACTGTGTTGTGGGTACCCCTAAGTTCTGCACATCCAGGCAACAGGCATTTACTTTCACACAGACTTGCATCCAGGAGACAGTAACCAGTCCGTGGGCTTGGTTTTGTTATTTTATTAGGGGAAATAACTTGGATAGGGAAATAGGGATTATGGGATGCCCCATTTGACTTGAATCAACGGAAGTGGGACAACTTTCTTCCTAATGTACAAGGATAGATCCTGGACTGTTCTTTTCCTTGAAAGCCATCAGTTGTTGCGGATCAGTAGCAGGTGCCCTTTATGGGCGAGGAGCTAACAGTCCCTCAAACATCAGCTTAGCTTCTTGTATCTACATACAGAGATATCTTCTCTCCCCCTGCAGAGCCTGCCGACACAACCAGCCCTCCTGGCTGCTCAGAAGATCTCCTGGGACAAAGATAAAGGATTGAGCGCAGCACTGTCCTTTGAAAGCTTGTATATGTGGCAGTCTTTCCCCTTGTAAATCCCAGAGAGTGCTGTCCTGCTGCTCCAGGTCTTGATCCCATTCACACCTTACTGCTGAATGTATCCTGCTAAGCCAGCCTGAGCCCAGCCCCCCCCGCCCAGATCAAGGGCATCCCTTCCAGGCACCAACAGTCTCCTCAATCAGCCTTCTATACTTTTGGGTCAGTCCACCACTCTACCAGGGCCTCCAAACCTGGGATTGGCCAGACTCTCATAAACACACAGATTAGGTCTCCATCCCTTCCTGCTTACCAACTTCTGGAAGTTTCTATGGTCCTCCAAAGTCAGGAGGAGGCAATAGAGCCACAACCTGTTAAGCCATCCAGATGACCTGCAATAACCTGACCTCGATAACAGACTCACACAGTTACCATTAGCCATAAACAATGATTTTACATGCAATACACTACACTATTCTAGTAGTACACTAGAAGGTGCTGCACCACTGATCACCAATGTAAGGGGCATTCTTCCCACTGATCACCAATGTGAGGGACATTCTTCCCACTGATCACCAATGTGAGGGACATTCTTCCCACTGACCACCAATGTAAGGGACATTCATCCCACTGATCACCAATGTAAGGGACATTCTTCCCACTGATCACCAATGTAAGGGACATTCTTCCCACTGACCTCCAATGTAAGGGACATTCTTCCCACTGACCCACAATGTAAGGGACATTCTTCCCACTGACCCCCAATGTAAGGGACATTCTTCCCACTGATCACCAATGTAAGGGGCATTCTTCCCACTGACCCCCAATGTAAGGGACATTCTTCCCACTTCACCAATGTAAGGGACATTCTTCCCACTGATCACCAATGTAAGGGGCATTCTTCCCTTGACCCCCAATGTGGGCATTCTTCCCACTGACCCCCAATGTAAGGGACATTCTTCCCACTGATCACCAATGTAAGGGACATTCTTCCCACTGACCACCAATGTAAGGGACATTCTTCCCACTGACCCCCAATGTAAGGGACATTCTTCCCACTGACCCCCAATGTAAGGGACATTCTTCCCACTGACCACCAATGTAAGGGGATTACCAATGTAAGGGACATTCTTCCCACTGACCCCCAATGTAAGGGACATTCTTCCCACTGACCACCAATGTAAGGGACATTCTTCCCACTGATTACCAATGTAAGGGACATTCTTCCCACTGACCCCCAATGTAAGGGACATTCTTCCCACTGACCCCCAATGTAAGGGACATTCTTCCCACTGACCACCAATGTAAGGGACATTCTTCCCACTGACCACCATGTAAGGGACATTCTTCTCACACTGACCCCCAATGTGACATTCTTCCCACTGGTAAAGGACATTCTTCCCCACTGACCCACCAATGTAAGGGACATTCTTCCCACTGACCTCCAATGTAAGGGACATTCTTCCCACTGATCCCCCAATGTAAGGGACATTCTTCCCACTGACCACCAATGCAAGGGACATTCTTCCCACTGATCCCCCAATGTAAGGGACATTCTTCCCACTGATCACCAATGTAAGGGACATTCTTCCCACTGACCACCAATGTAAGGGACATTCTTCCCACTGATCACCAATGTAAGGGACATTCTTCCCACTGACCACCAATGTAAGGGACATTCTTCTGATCACCAATGTAAGGGACATTCTTCTCACTGACCACCAATGTAAGGGACATTCTTCCCACTGATCACCAATGTAAGGGACATTCTTCTCACTGATCACCAATGTAAGGGACATTCTTCCCACCAATGTAAGGGACATTCTTCTCACTGATCACCAATGTAAGGGACATTCTTCCCACTGACCACCAATGTAAGGGACATTCTTCCCACTGACCACCAATGTAAGGGACATTCTTTCACTGATCACCAATGTAAGGAACATTCTTCTCACTGATCACCAATGTAAGGGACATTCTTCCCACTGACCACCAATGTAAGGGACATTCTTCCCACTGACCACCAATATAATATTCTTCCCACTGACCACCAAAATAATATTCTTCCCACTGACCATTACCTAATTCTGGTAACTTGTATATTATTATCCAGCAGGGGATTACCTTTTGAATGAATACCAATACAATGGGTATCAGATCCAGCAGCGTCCCTAGGGTTGGTGTCACCCAGTGCGGTAACACTTGGTGAACCCCCCCTCTGACGATCGCCGCAGAATGGATCGAATCTGCGGATTGAGCATAATGGATCAGACTCCGATCCCTTATGCTCAATTCACAGATCTGATCCATCCTGAACCTACCTTTTCTTGGAGCGGGTCCGGGTTGAGCGGCAAGATGTGTCTCCCATGTAGATATGTCCCCCCTGAAGCAACTGCGCATGTCCCGGTTTCAGGCATGATCAGGGGCGGACTGACCATTTGGAAACTCGGGCACTGCCCAAGGGCCCGGGGTCAATAGAGGGCCCCATAAGATGCCCCTGTTACCTTTTTCATAGGCTTTTTTGAGTTTGGGCAAGGACACAGGAGCCCCATGATCCCCTATTGCCCGGGGGCCCCATGAGTTGTCAGTCCGCTCCTGGGCATGATCAATCGATGATAGCAGTAGTTCTATCCGATTGATCATGCTTGAAACCGGGACATGCGCAGTTGCTTCAGGGGGGACATATCTACGTGGGAGACACATCTTGTCACCCCATATAGGTTGTATGCCGACGATCCCCGCAGGATTGTTGGCATCCAACCTATATGGGGTGACACCAGACCCACTCCAAGAAAAGGTAAGTTGTAAAGAAAGCCGATGATCCCCACAGGATGGATTGTTGTGGAACAGGTGCGGTGTCACCCCGTGAGGTCGGTGTCACTCGGTGTGGACCGCACCCCCCGCACCTGCCTTGGGCTGATCTTGCAGAGAGCCTGACACACCACCCCTACCCTCATGAGAGAGTCTGACAGTGACCTACAACACTCCTGCCCCATTCCCCCCACCTGAAAAAGCCTTCCACTAACACCAACCCCCCCCCTCAGCGAAAGAGAGAAAGACACACCTTCACAGCTGTGGACATCCCCAGGAATGACAATCGGGCTCTACAGACACCCAGACACATCAAAACGCCTGCAGCCTCTCTCGGATCCCACCTGGTCCCCATGCCGCATATGTCTCTTCTTCCAGGGGGCACTGCTGCCCCTAAAAAATGCCGCCCTAGGCGAATGCCTTTTTTGCCTTATGGTAAATACACCCTGATCCCATATACCCCTAGACCCCATCCAAGTTGTTATCTCCTTAATAAAAACAATTAAAAACCAGCTCAAGGACTATATTACTGACTCTGTGCATGTGAAGATGTGGGAAAAATGTGCCTGTGCAGAGTGTAGGGGGACCCAAAACTCTGCGGCCCTCAAGGGGGTAGTGCTACACACATTATGAATCACTTACCAGCACGGGTGTCAAACTGGCGGCCCTCCAGCTCTTGTCAAACTACAAATCCCATGAGGCATCCCAAGATTGACAGTTACAAGCATGACTCCCAACGGCAGAGGCATGATGGGACCAACAGCTGGAGGGCCACCCGTTTGATACCCCTGAGTCTTACCTCATTTAGAAAGAAGGAAAAGATCAGATCCTGGATATGGAAACAATTCTCAGTGCAGGTTATGTGGGGAATGATGCCCTTTTCATGTCACGTAGTGCTTATGCTTTTAGACAAAGGCATTTGAAAGATAAGATTTATTATTATACAGGATTTATATGGCGCCAACAGTTTTCTCAGCGCTTTACAATATACGGGGGACAGTACGATTACAATACAATTCAGTACAGAAGGAATAGGAGGGCCTGGCTCAAGGAGCTTACAATCCAAAGGTGGGGGATACAAAAGGTGATGGCTGAGGGGGATGATCTGCTGGAGGTGATTCAAGTACAGTTCTTAGGTGGAGGTGGGGTAGGCTTCCCTGAATAAGTGAGTTTTCAAAGATCCCCTAAAGGCAGACAGGGTGGGGGGCTGACCGGACATACTGGATTAGGAAGTTCCAGAGGATGGGGGAGGCTCTGGAGAAGTCCTGGAGGCAAGCGTGGGAGGAGGAGGTGATGAGGGGGCTAGAGAGGAAGAGGTCTTGGGAGGAGCGGAGCGGGCGATTTGGGCGATATCTGTGGATGAGGTTGGCGATGTATCTAGGGGCAGTGTTGCGGATGGCTCTGTAAGCCACGGTTTAGACTCGGGTGCCTTGAGACTGAAAGTATAACTTTTATTTCAGGTTTGGATAGCGTGGGGGGGGGGGAGATTAGAACCCCCATCAGGTTTTATAGCTTTCTGTGTCCCCGTTGGGGAGATCCCCCTCTCTATTTGTCCTGATTACCATCATCGAGAGTAAAAGAAACCCCAAATTTTGGGTTGTCCCCAGAAAAGTCATAGAGGAGGAATCTTCCAATGGGGGACATTAGTCCTGGTGACCCGGGGGAACCCGAGGAATTCCTTTAATTTGCAGGGATTTCCTCCTACTTTTTGTTTGGCTGTGGGACAGGAAGTGAAGGGAAATCTCCCCAATGGGACACAGATGGCAAAAAAAAAATAAACGTACAGAAGTTATAACCCGCCTTTACTCCACCCAAAATGGAAATAAGTTTTGCCTTTTAGTTCTACTTGTTTTCAAGGCCACCATGAATGGAAAAAGGTTGAACAAAGATTGCTGTGTATGGGGAATTGATGGAAGGACATTTACCTGTGCAACACCATCAACAGGGGGGGGGGAAATGATATCGCAAAACACCATCACTTTTCCTGCCATGATTTCCCTAATTTACAACAAGGTATCCCCCAAAAGCTGCCATGGGGTAATTTTCTACTACCACCATCACACTGACCACCAATGTAAGGGGACACTTCTACACTGACCACCAATGTAAGGGGACACTTCTACACTGACCACCAATGTAAGGGGACACTTCTACACTGACCACCAGTGTAGGGGACACTTCTACACTGACCACCAATGTAAGGGGACACTTCTACACTGACCACCAATGTAAGGGGACACTTCTACACTGACCGCTAATGTAAGGGTCACTTCTACACTGACCACCAATGTAAGGGGACACTTCTACACCGACCACCAATGTAAGGGGACACTTCTACACTGACCACCAATGTAAGGGGGACACTTCTACACTGACCGCCAATGTAAGGGGACACCTCTACACTGACCGCCAATGTAAGGGGACACTTCTACACTGAAGTGTAAGGGGACACTTCTACACTGACCACCAATGTAAGGGGACACTTCTACACTGACCACCAATGTAAGGGGACACTTCTACACTGACCACCAATGTAAGCGATCTCGTGTACACTGATTTCCAATGTAAGGGGAAACTTCTACATTGACCACCAATGTAAGGGGTCTTGTGTTCATTGACCACCAATGTAAGGGGAATATCTACACTGACCACCAATGTAAGGGGTCTCGTCTACACTGACCATCAATATAAGGGAGAACTTCTACACTGACCACCAATGTAAGGGTCATCTACACTGACCACCAATGTAAAGGGTCACGTCTACACAAACCAAGAATATAGGAGGTCACGTCTATACTGACCACCAATGTAAGGGGGAACTTCTACACTGACCACCAATGTAAGGGGTCATGTTTACACTAACCAAGAATGTAAGGTGCCACATCTACACTAACACTATGTAAGAGTTATGTCTACACTGACCACCAATGTAAGGGAGGTTATGTCTACACTGACCATCAATGTAAGGGGTCATGTCCACACTGACCACCAATGTAAGGGGGTCTACACTCTAAGGGGTCACATCTACACTAACTAAGAATGTAAGGGGTCTCGTCTACACTGACTGCCAATGTAAGAGGAAATTTCTACACTGACCACCAATATAAGGTGCCACATCTACACTAAACTTGAAAGAGTCAAAAATACTGTTATTCACGAAAAGAACATGTTAGGATGTCAGTTTGAACCTCTAAAATAGGTCCACATTGTCTGAATCAGAAAACGCGTCAGCGTGGCACGTGACCCCCCGATATCCACATGCCATCTCCACAGGCTGTGGTGCAATACTGGATCTTTCACAGCCATACATCCATGCCTGGGCCAGTTGAATTTGAGGATCGGCAGTCATCTATAGGAGTGTAGGCAGGAATTCCTGCTGGACTTGGACGTTCCACTGACATGTCAGCCTCAATCATTACAGGACCTTGGGGTCCCATTGGACTGTGAGCAGTGGTGTACTTAGGTTGTGTGCTGCCCTAGGCAACACAAAAATCATCAGCCCCCATGGACACCGACCAACACCACCCCCTTTGTATGTCAGTGTTGGGATTTTGGGGTTGGTCGTTGTGCGGTCGGGGGCCGGTGGAGGGATTGGAGGGGGGTGTGTGGTGGCGGAGGCGGAGCGGTTGGTGGGGTGGGTTGGTCTGGCTGCCGCCGTGTTCGGGGTTGACTGAGGCGGGGATGGGCTGTGGCGGGCCGGAGGGGAGGGAGTGGTTGAGTCATGATATGATGAGGGAGTGGATGAGCTCTTTGGTGTTTTCTGGGGTTAGGAACGTGCGGGTTTTGGCGATGTTGCGGAGGTGGAGTCTGCATGAGTTTGCCCAAATACCACCCAACCCGTGCTCTTCGCTCCTCATAGGACCTCCTACTTTCTAGCTCCCTGGTCTCCTCCTCCCACGCCCGACTGCAGGAGTTCTCCAGGACTTCCCCCATCCTCTGGAACTCACTACCCCAATC